AACAATTTAATTTATGTACAGCATTGCATGACTGCACAATTGTCAGTTACAGCAATGCAGCGTCATATCGCAAAAAATGGCCTGGTCAGGAAGGGGGGGGTAAGTCCTCTGGAGAACAAGTGGTTAATATCGTCAATGCTATCACATTGATCAGTTTTATTGCATTTGCCAATAAACTATGTCTCCAAAGTCCAAAAACCAAAATGTACTCTTCTTCTATCTCTCTCTTCTCTCACACCCACAAACAGGATAGGGATGTGATGTCAGAGGAAATAACACACAGTAATACAATCCAGGTGAACATCGTAAAAATGCTCATGTCAACACAATGTCATTTTTATAGCATTTCTATACACTTTGATGTATGGACGAGTCTCCAAATGACTGCCATGCAAAAATAATGTTTATGCAGTTTATTCAGTCCATGCTATTTCTTCTGCAGAGTTTTATTTATATGTTTTAATGTTAAAACTGCTATCCTCTTACTGTCCTCTCTAGGTATGGTGCTTTAAGGATGCACTGTATAAATCAATAATAATAGCTTTGAGGGTAATTCAGTTATGCTTCCATGTTATAATACTTCATATGGCTTTATGCTCAAATGAGGAAGTTTCTTTCATTTTGCCAGACTATTAATTTTTAAAGTAGAATGCATGTTAGGGATTCTATAAATTTCAATAGTTGTACAATTATTATGCAATGTATTCATGTCATTTCCATCTAGCATATTTAATATGTAGAATGTACCTTTATGCATCTGCAGAAAATACAGACTTTGCAGCCCCCAGGCATGAGATTTTTTTAGATAAAAAAGAATCAATGTCATTATATCTCTCTCGAGCATCATAATTATTCGTCTTGCATACAATATTTATTTAAAACTTAGAATTAAACTTCAAGAGCTGGTCATTTGAAAACTGGCAGTGAGTGAGCAGATCTTGTCTCTGTAAAAAAAAAAAAAAAGAAAAAAAGAAAAAAAAAAAGAATATTCCTTTTAAAAGTTAAGGAATAGATCAAAACAGCCTTTCGAGTAACTGACACTTTAGTCATACAGATGCTTTTTATGTGTCAGGTTTATTAATAAAGGAAGTCCATGGGAACGCACAGAAGAAAATCTTAAGGATGTGACTGTCAGTTTTTTGATATGTCAGGTATAATTTTGTAACTCTGATTTCTGGATAGCAGTATACACATTGCATTGTACTGATGTTTGTGTACCTCTTTGTACTTCTCATTTATGATGACTGAGAAAGAAGATGAGGCGGAGATGTTTTGATACAAGATTGAAACTTGAAACTAACGTCCTTCAATTTGAACAGTATTCCTTTTCATCTTTCTTTTCATGTTACCTTTTTAACTTTTGCCACTGATGTAAGAAAAAAATGTATTTGAAAAGATGCCAGGTGTTGGTTCTTACATAGGTGAAAGATCACATAAAAGGAGAGCAAAATCTAGTTTTACAATGCCAAAGCAGTATAATTAAATAAGAGATCAAATGTATATCAACAACAGTGTTTGCTCTCCCAAGGCTATTGTGAAATTATTTAACATATCATATGTCTTCTTGAAGCACTCACCATGTCACATTGTCGCATTAACTTTGCAGGTGATGATTCGATTATTATATGACCTTTGTCAGCAAGAAATCCATTAAGATCACCCTTAGCCTTAGTTAGGTTTTCTAAGCAAATAAAAGAATATTCCTTATATATGCGCAATTATGTAAAGTATAGTGTGTGTGTGTTTGTATGTGTGAGTGAGTGCATACGTGTGCGTTTTGGGTATGTAAATATGTATTTTAACTCATGTTTCTTTATCCCATCTGTAATGCAGATGGAAAATGACTATTCTATTAACAGATATAATTATCTGCTGTACAATAACGTGAAGATATCAAATATAGAAAATAAAATATATAGTATATTTGAATGATGTTAATTTTGATATAGTTGATTTTTTCAGGTCAAATGACACATGAAATCATCTGTTACATATGATCATTTTGAAGAGATTTCACATTTATTTATTTATTTTTTAGCATTTTCATTTAAATCTTTTAATTGGTCATTTCCAGATCCACCTACTGTAAAGTGAATTGCAAAGTAATCAGTAGAAACCACTAATGTTTCTTCCACTTTTTGTTTACTGAAAAGTTGATTTAAAAAACAAAAAAAAAAAACAACAACAGTACCATGTATGTAGCCAATGAAAATGTTATCTTATATCTGATTAAATTATTAGATCAGCTTGAAAAAGATCAAATAAAAAACTGACACGTGAGTTTATCATAAAAGTACCTAGATTCAAAACTGACTATGGGCTTCCATAAGTTCAAAATGATGGATTACCTATAATATGTTTAAAACATATGAATAGAAACTAAAAATTTCAGTACAATAAAAAAAAGGATCTCAAGCATGTGAGAAACAATATGACCTTAACCTCTTCATATCCACAAGTTTGGAACTTGGGTATCTAGACAATAGGGATGATTTACTAAAATTGATGTGTGCAAATCTGGTGCAGCTCTGCATAGAAACCAGCTTCCAGTTTTTTTTGTCACAGTTTAATTAAGCAAGCTGAAGTTAGAAACTAATTGGCTACCATGCACAACTAAACCAGATTTTGCACTCTCCAGTTTTAGTAAATCAACCTCAATGTATTTCTGTTTTGTTATGTGTCAGTTGATTTAACAACTGATTCATACCAAAACTGCACTTTTTAATACTTTTTTACTCACCATTTTGCATAATCAAAAATATTTTTACTATTTTTGTCAAAACGTGTTTTCATGCTTTGCTTTAGCACACAGCTTTATATAATACCTTCATTGTATTTCTTATTATACAGCGCAAAACGATTACCAAAATTCACTATGTTATTTAATGTACAACATTTTTAGAATAAGCAAATCAAATATTTTAACCAGAAAATTGTTTGCAGTCTGTGCTAAGTGGCATGAGATGACTTTCATGGAATCAATATGTGGAAATTCCTGACAGATCTACGTTAAATGCAGTGCATATCTATAAAATACAATGATTTTGAAACAATGAATGGTGCAATCAGCCAAATTATGTCAAGAGACAAATATGTGCAACACAATATTTACCATAGTAAAGTAAATCATAACTATATGAAGTATAAAAATTAGTACAAAACACAAATATCAAAAACATTAAAGCAATGTGCCCATCAAAAGCTCAAACAAAAGTGTCAATGAAAGTGACATAAATGCATCCACTGATGAAACAGCTCATGCGAAAAGGTGCACCATAGCTTCTATAACCCAGATCCGCAAGAAAACAGGAATGCAGTACCTACCGCCCAGAGGTAATATATTGCACATAGCAGCATTTATAACCCAAATCAGGGGCTAAGATCATATATAAAACCATCTCAGGCTGAATAGATCTCTCCATTTTCCACTCCCTGCACAGCTTACTCACCTCCAGTCCACCTCCACAGTACTGTACAACAGACAGGACAAGGAAAGGGTCTATTATAGTGTAGTATGAAACACTCTTTATTAAAACCACATCAGTAAAAATGTATAAAACCCAGCAAAAACACTTATAAGACCACTGCTGCCTCACCTGGCAGAAGCTTGTGACATTAACAGGCACCAACTCTGTCCTACATGTGTTTCATCTGGTAGGACATAAAGGCAGAAATGTTTAGGATTTTAAAGGGTTAGGTTTTTCACATACCTGACTCTCCAGAGGAGTTTAATGACTCTTACTCATTGTGGAATAAAAAAATCCAACAAAAATTTGTAAATAGACACCCCCAAAAACATCAACAATATAAAAATGTAACATCTCTGTTTTTTTTAAATTTATTATTCCTAATAATATATCTTAAATAAAACATTGTCCCCTCCCAGAAGTAACCAGCTCGGCATGCTGGGCATGCTGCCTAGTACCCCCATAGCAAAGGAAAAGTTAGCATGAAGCTGTCCTGTTATGCTAATCCCAGCCCTTCTATAACATTATAGGGTGTTTTGAGAGTTGTTCCTTTCAAAATTAGGGGTTGCTTCAAAGCACCAGTGCAAGTGCCAATGAGCACACATTCTTTGGCAGCCTGGTACCTAGATGGAGGTGCCAGGGAGGAAAAGCTTATGTATGAAGTGCCTACCAATTAGTTATAAATAAATAAATTTGGTATCCAAAATTAATATTGCATAAAATACCCTGTGTAGAACTCCATAAAACATCACACTTTCACCCCTGAAAGTTAAAATATATAGAAACCTTTTTTGAGCCAGTCAATATGTAAAGTCCAAAAATATAGTCCAAATAAATTATTCCTCCGTGTTCACCTTCAACATCCCTATAAATCCAGATAAGTTGTGTACCTCAAAAAAAAAAACTAAATAGTGTATTACCTTCAATATAAACAGGTATATATACTTCACCAAACAATTATTATATACTTTCCGAAAAAATATGTGCAAAACAAAAACCAAAAAAAAGAAATTCAAACATTCACAATGTGAACATTCTGTGAACACTCGTAAAACAAAATAAATAAAATTGTGAACACTCCGTGAACACTTCTAAATAGCTGAAATGCATACAATTACCCTTAATAGAGTAATAGCAAGCCTTTAACCGCCTCCCGCCCGCCATATAGTAATATGACGGACGCAAGGCGGTTCTCTCGTTCTGAGAGGACGTCATATGATGTCCTCCCGTTCTCACCGCGCATGCGCGGCTCCAGGAGCACGCAGCTCGGCGATTGGCGGTGCGCTGTGTCCCTCGGACACAGCGGATCACCGATCCACGGAAAGAGCCAAAGATGTCGGCTCGGTCATTTGATCAGCTGTGTCCAATCACAGCTGATCACAATTAAACAGGGAAATGCCGGTTATCGGCATTTCTCTCCTCACGAGCTGTCACGCTGACAGCTCGTGAGGAGAGGAGAGCCGGTAATCGGCATTCCTCAGAGGGGACATCTACACAGATCATCAGAGCACTGATGATCAGTGTGCCCTGATGATCTGTGTAGCCCCAGCAGTGCCACCTGTCAGTGTCCATCAGTGCCAGGTCTGTGCTCATTCGTGCCGCCTGCCATGCCCATCAGTGCCACATCAGTGCCACATTTCAGTGCTCATCAGACCCACATCGATGCCACATATCAGTGCCCATCTAAGCTGCCTTTCAGTGTCACCCATCAGTGCCAGTCAGTGCCACCTATCAGTGCTGCCAATCAGTGCCACCTATCAGTGCCAGTCAGTGTCACCTATCAGTGTGCATCAGTGCCACCTATCAGTGCCCGTCAGTGCTGCCTATCAGTGCCGCCTAACAGTGCCAGTCAGTGCCACCTAACAGTGTCAGTCAGTGTTGCCTATCAGTGCCGCCTATCAGTGCCATATATGAGTGCTGCCTTTCGGTGCCCATCAGTGATGCTTGTCAATGCCCATCAGTGCCATCTACCAGTGCCTCCTCATCAGTGCCCATCAGTGCCACCTATCCATGTCCATCAGTGCAGCCTATCAGTGCCCATCACTGCAGCCTCATTAGCGTACATCAGTGAAGGAGAAAAATCACTTATTTACAAAATTTTATAACAAAAAAAAATTTTTTTTTCAAAATTTTCAGTGTTTTTTGGTTTGTTTAAGAAAAAATAAAAAACCCAGAGGGATTAAATAGCACCAAACTAAAGCTCTATCTGTCACAAACAAATGAGAAAAATTTCATATGGGTACAGTGTTGCATAACCGCGCAATTCTCATTCAAAATGCAATAGCGCTGAAAGATGGAAATTTGCCTGGGCAGGAAGGGGGTATAAGTGCCTTGTAGGCTAGTGGTTAAAGAGTACACCCTGGACTCTCACTCCAGTGTTGCTGTCACTCCCTGGACTCTCACTCCAGTATGTCACAGATAGGGTTCCAATCCTTAGGGCAAACATCTCACATTTCCATCATCCTCATAAATAGAGAAAAAAGCCCATAGAGTGTAGTATTATAGGTATTAAACATTTATTTGTAGTGCTTACATAGGGACTTATCAATCAGCAGCAAATTCCCATGACACAGCCTAGAGCAGCTTCCTGGAACGCTGCACTGCCGATTCCAATAGCAAAGATGGCCGCTCCGTCACTTCTGGTTTGCGTATGACGTTAGACGTCACATCCCTTGACGCATCACTTCTGGACTTCTTCTGGAGTGAGAGTCCAGGGTGTACTCTTTAAAGGCTTGCTATTACTCTATTGAGGGTAATTGTATGCATTTCAGCTATTTAGAAGTGTTCACGGAGTGTTCACAATTTTATTTATTTTGTTTTATGAGTGTACACAGAATGTTTACATACATATATATATATATATATATAGTGTACATGGAGTGATTTCACGATTCACTGGTGAACTGGTTTTAAGGGTCCCTGAGACTATTATTGCAAGTTCTGGGATTTCTTTTTTTCTCACATGGTGCACAGTCATCCTATTGTAAATATGGATAATGTGTCTGTGAAATGCCAGGTGAAGGCTGTTGAATCTCACTTGGCAAAGGGCAAGAATTATACCTACCGTATTTTCCGGCATATAAGGCGACTGGGTGTATAAGACGACCAACAATTTTTTGGGTATATTTTTAAGTATAAAAAGTAGTCTTATACGCCAGAAAATACTGTATATATTATATATAATATTATTATTATTATTATTACATCAAATTTATATAGCGCCAAAGGGTTTGCTCAGCGCTGTACAATAGAGGGGGGGACAATACATGAAACAGCACAGCAATAACAAACAGCACACGAGGGGTTAGAGGGCCCTACTCTTTCGAGCTTACAATCTAGGAGGGAGGGGGTAGAATACAAATGAAACATCTGTTTTGTACTGAAACTAATGGAGCATTGAAATCAAGTAAAAAACTATGATTTTAGAAGTGTTTCATTGCTTGTATGTGTACCACATTTTACTATATTTATTTTTGATCAGTTTTACATTATACTTATTGATAGAAACATATTTTGTAGGATTTTTTTCACAATATTAATCACACAATGTTTTGCAACTGCTGTCAACAAATTTATGTTTGTACATTTTTTTTACATCTGTTTTGCTGGAAAATGTAAGATCTATTTATCATCCATTTCTTTGTGACAAATGAATTGTAAGCAAATAGAAAAGCTTCACATTAAGGTCAAATATTCTTAAATGTATTTTAAGAATACTACTGCAGTCAACAGCACAGTTTGCGTAACACAGAGTGTCTGCTCATTGGAGGAGAGATCACAGGGATGACCTCATCAATATGCTCCAGTTCCTTCACAATCCAGGTTTCGGCTGGTGCTTGATTAACTACTTGCTGACTGTGCTATAGCTAAAAGACTGCTACAGTGCGGCATTCCAGTTCTGGGAGGACGTCCATGGATGCCCCTGGGGCATGCATTGGGCACGCTCTGTGATGATGATCACAGATCTCGATAAAGGGCCAATTACATAAGCTTTTTACCATGTGATCAGCTGTGGCCAATCACAGCTGGACACATGTAAACAGACAGACAGTGTGTGAAAGGAGAACCAAAAGCTGGCCAGTCTGTCAGTACATTGTTTACACTGGTAATCAGGGCACTGATCATCAGTGACCTGATTATCAGTGCAGCCCCATCAGTGCCAATCAGTGCCCATCAGTGCAGATTATCAGTGTCCATCAGTGCCACCTATCAGTACCCATCAGTGCCACATATAAGAGCCCATCAGTGCCACCTCATCAGTGCTACTTATCAGTGCCCATATGTGCCGCTTCATCAGTGCCCCTCAGTGCCACCTCATTAGTGCTGTCTCCTCAGTGCAGACTCATCAGTGCACATCAGTGCAGCCTTAGCAGTGCCAATCAGTGCAGCCTCATCAGTGGCCATCAGCTCACATCACTGCAAGCTCATCAGTGCAGCCTCATCAGTGCACATCTGTGAAGAAAAAAACATGCTTATTTGCAAAATTGTGTAACAGAAACTAAGAAAAAAGTGGGTTTTTTTTCAAAATTGTTGGTCTTTTTTTGTTTGTTTAGCAAAAAATACAAAATTCCAGTGGTGATTAAATACCACCAAAATTAAACTCAATTTGGTTGAAAAAAATCAAATTTCCAATTGCATATGGATATAGTGTCGCATGGCCGCTCAATTGTCGTTCAAAATGCAACAGCACTGAAAGCTGAGAATTGTCCTGGCAGGAAAGTAGTGAAAGAGCCCCATATTGAGGGGGTTAATACCAACCTGTATGGCTTTAGTGGCAGTAACAAAAAGCAAGGTCTAAAACCTGACTATACTGTCTGGCATAGGTAAGTATATCTCAAGAATTGCTGAACAGAATGCAAAATCATGAGGCATCTAAAACTGAACACACGTGGCTGAATTAAATATGTTATTCTTATAGCAGGAAGCACATATCACATTAGCATTTTTTAAGTAGACCCTACTTTTAGTGTCATCTAATTTAATCATACATGACAGCTATAAATGAAAAATAAAAATTGACTACAAACCAAAGGGTATGTTTAATATATTTAAAAAAAGAATAGGGATCAAATACAATGCAAATGACCATATGCAGAAAGAGGACAAACTCTTTTTAAAAGTATCGTCTAATTTAATATCTTTTTATTAAAAGTAAAAACTTGGTTAAAATACTGTTTGTATGGTCTTTTTTCCTATGATAAAGTTATAAAAAAACACCATGGGAAAGTTGTAAAAGAAGCAATAATATCAGTCTAAGTGGGCCAGATGATTAGGGTGAATAGAAATACAAGGGATAATTATAGTCACAAAAGAAGTTGAAATGGACTATTTTCCTCATAATAATTAACTGGTGCTACTTGCTTTTCTATTAATTTCCTTCATCCTGTTATCCTCTCCCCCTTTCTTAATGTACTATACACAGTGCTGGTTGTTTTTCTCTGTCTTTGTTCATGCCATTACAGATTTTGTACCTCTAGATAATTCTAAGCAATCAAAGCTATTATAACTGATATTAAGTGTACTCAAAAAGTGGTTATATTTTCCATTTCTTCTTTCATCCTAGCCCTGCCACAAATGCATAAAATTATTCAAATCTTATTTTCCTCATGCCATTACCAGTGATGTGCGACTGTTACATAGATTTAAGGGAATTATGTTTTCAGTATTAAAAGCTTAATTTTGCAAGGTATGTTTTCACTTTTAGTTAAGGCCCACAATTCTGTACTAAAAACACTACTATGGAAAACACATTGTTGTAATTGCACTTTAAAATAATGTGATTTTGATGGTTTGCTTGGATCTAGCAGAAGAGAAAAATCCTGACAACAATTAAGTATGATTAAGCATTGTAAGCTTGCATCCTGCCATACATTAGCATATCAAAAAGATGAGCCATAGAAAGCATTACACATTCTTTCTTTGTTTTCTAAGGTAAATTCTCTAGAAAATATTACATAAAAAAAAAATAATTGAATATTTCCCAAGAAAATATACTTTTCTTTGCCATCAGTAAACCCCAATCCACTTTATTGTAAATGGAAGTTGCACCCTAAAGTGTAAGTCCAGCCATGCTGCTTTAGGCTGATACGTTGCGTGGTGTTAATGGATGCACATTAATGGGCTATATGCTGTGCGTAATGTGCATTTTGCAAAGGCAGTCCCTTATGCACCAAATGCACCAAATGCACCAAAACATTGTATGTACTATACATTACTGCAGTGCACCAGTGGGAACTTGGCCTTGTTTGTTTTGGATAGAATGAGATGAGAACTCCTATCAAGTTTTCTCTTCTATCCAGTGATCTTCTAGAGAGATACCTCCCCACCTATGGTCCCATTGACAGAAGCTTCATAAACCAAGATAATTTACAAGACACACAGTCTGAATCAAAAGCTACTCTACTTAAAACTGTTTCATTGTTGTCTGTGTTTCTGTTGGGCACAGGGGCGGACTGACAACTCATGGGGCCCCCGGGCAATAGGGGATCATGGGGCCCCTGTGACCTTATGAAAAAGGTACCAGGGGCATCTCATTGGGCCCCCTACTGACCCCGGCCCTCGGGCAGTGCCCGAGTTTCCAAATGGTCAGTCTGCCCCTGGTTGGGGATGATTCCTCACTTCTTTTCTGATTAAATTGTTGTCTCTAGGACAATAGGCCAAGGGAATTTTTTTTAAACAGAGTCCTGCATTGCAATAACATCCCAACAGGGGTTGTAATCCTTCCCTACTCCATCCAATACTAAATATAAAGCTCTGTCTGTACATATATTTGAGGTTTCATGTACAAAGGTGGTTTGGTCCATACAGCAAAAAGAGCTGGGTTTATTTTGGACCTTGGGAGGCAGAGGTGAAGCCCACTGCAAACAGCCCATCAAAATCAATGACAGGTTGAAATACACAGCAGCCATTTGCAGCTGTATGCTGTTTCAATGGGTACTTGCT